CTATGATCCATTTTGAGTTATTTTGGGGGAAGAGTGTAAGGTCTGTGTCTAAATTCATTTGTTTGTCTGTGGACATCCAGTTCTAGCACCATTTGTTGAAAAGACTATCTTTGCTCCATTGTATTGTCTTTGGTCCTTTGTCAAAGATCAGTTGATTATATATGTGTCTATTTCTGAGTTCTCTCTTCTGTTCCATTGATCCGTTTATCTTTTCTTTCACCAATACCACCCTGTCTTGATTACTGCAGTTTGAAGTCCTGAAGTCAGGTAGCAATAGTCCTCCAATTTTGTTCTCCTTTAATAGTGTTGGCTATTCCGGGTCTTTTGCTTCTTTATATCAACTTTAGAATCAGTGTGTCAACATCTGCAAATGAACTTGCTGGGCAGCACTGATTTTAAGGATATACTTTTCTGGGAGTTTGTGCCAGTAGCCAGAGCCTTAAGTCTTCAATCAGCTGGATTGAGTCCCTCTTTTCTGAACTTGGGCAAAAGGATTCAATTTTTAGAGTTTCCTGTGTTTGTATATTGTGTAGCTGGGCCCACACCATAAAATGCAATCATGGGCATAAAATGGGTGTCCCCATTGCATGAAGGAGAGAGTGCTGGGGCTGGCAGAGCAGGGGGTTAGCACTCCCCATGATATTAATAATCATGTCATCGTCGTCGTCATCATCATCATCATCAAGGAAGCTTGTATTTATTGAGTACTTACCAAATGCAAAGCCCTGAGCTCAGTCCCTTTCATGGGTCATGTCACCAGTCCTTTCAACAACTCTCTGAGGCAGTCAATTCCCGCTTATAAACCAAGCGCACACATTACTGCCAACTGAGAAAACAAAGGCTCTGCGAGGTTAAATAACTTGCCCAGGGTCACATGGGTAATAAGCTGTGAAGCTGGAGTTCAAACCCACTCTTAACCCCTACACTACACTCACTCTCCCTGGCATTCCTCTTTCACCCTGGGGTAGTAATGCTGACCATTCTATGTCTGGCATTCAAGCTTCTAGAAGGAAGCTCATCATCCTGTTTTGAATAAGTCCCACAGACAACTAAACCTCCTGATAAATCCTCTCTACTCTAGTTCCTTGAAACTCTTTTTGTAAAACCCACACACTTGAGAAATGGAGCCTTAAGCATCCTCTCCTCCCCCATTCCCCTCCTTTCACCTGCTTCCCCATGGCATCCAGTTGGCTACAAACCTCTCTTGCTGTTTATTTCCCTCTTAATAAGCCCCATCTCCTCTCAGAAGGCCATTTAGCATGGCACCACTTAATTTCTCCTTGAAGCAGAATCTGCCAGATGGAGTCTTCATCCCAAGCCATGTTGATTTGTCTTATTTTTAAACAGCAGTGAACATCCCATGAAACTAAAATAGCAGTTGGTTCCCAGGTGTGACTCACTGAGCGGAGAGGTGATCAGGAGCGTATGGACTCATCCACCTGAGGCAGCTGTTCCAAATGACTTCCTCAGGTGGCACCCAGCCAGCTGCTGGCCACATCTGGGTGTCAATGCAGGGGCATGCTGCTTTTCCGCATCAACGGGGTTCAGCCACTCATCACTTCCTCTGGCTGGACCCCCTTGGGCTGTGACTCCTTGACTTTTCCACAGACATACTCATACTCCTGACTGTTGGGGAGACGAAATGGACCCAGAGAACCAAGAGATCAGCACTAAGTGGCCAAGTGAAAGAATGAAATGTCTCATTTTTTACCCTGATGTCTCATTTTTTATCCCCCAAAATTCCTTTAAAATTTGACTCTGATTCTATAACATAACTATGTTTGGGTTAATATAAATATAATTCATCAAATTATGTCCTAGCTAAGTTATTAAACCATATCCCGCCCCCCCACACACACACACGTTTTTTAAAACCATCCCAAAATCAGGTTGATTCTGTAGCTTCATTATCCCAGACACATGTAATAGGCTGTGTGCCTCAAGGCATATGTGCCTCTGCTTGAGGTGCACACTCACAAAGATGGGCAGTCTCTTTCCTAAGGGAGGGTGTGCCTACAACAGGGACTAAGAATTTTTCTTTACTGCCACACGTCATCCTAAGGAAGAGAGGATTAACCTAAGGGAAAGACAGAAGTGATTGTTACTAGTAAGGCAGTGACTTCCTTAGGCTCTAATGAATAATAGAAATCAGAGTCTGGTCTGACTTACAGCATCTTGGGTGGCTCCCTGACCTCATTATACGTATCATCCCGATGGGAATTGACAACACTCCAGCGCAGCTCACAGAAGTGACTGCTTATAAAAATGCATATGCCATAAGCTCATCTCCATAACCTTCCATCTTCCATCCCCTTAATAACCCAGATACCATAATAAGCAGTGGAGTCCTTTATTAGAAGGAGGAAGAATGAGGGGCGCCTGGGTGGCTCAGTTGGTTAAGCGTCTGCCTTCGGCTCAGGTCAGGATCCCAGGGTCCTGGGACCAAGCCCCACGTCGGGTTCCCTGCTCTGCGGAGAGCCTGCTTCTCCCTGTCTCTCTGCTGCTCCCCCAGCTTGTGCTCACTCACTCTCTCTTTGTCAAATAAATAAATAAAATCTTTTTGTTAAAAAGAAGAAGAAGAAGAAGAGGGAAGAATGTAGACAAGTTGAGTGATAATCCTTTATTCCTTGGAGCAATTTTGCTGTAATATTTAGGATTTTTTGTTTTGTTTTAAGCACCCCCTCAAAAAGAACAGCAACAACAAAAGCAATAGAGGACAATCTTTCTTTGACCCTGTGAGACTCCTTCTCCCATGGAGAGTATGGGCCATTCCAGTTCCTTTAAATAGCCTTATACTTGAACATTTAACAGGTGTTCTCAGGGCTACTCTGAAGAAAAAAGAAATCCTTCCCTGAATCAGCAGAAAGACAATGAATTATTTGACAGTAATATTCACATCCCTGATGGAGGAGTAGCCACCCTAAATATATCAATAAACAAACAGATAAGTATATTTCTGAAATGCCACTGAGAAAAAAAATACAGGGGGTACTGTCCCTATTCTTTACAGGAAAAATAAGTGATAAAATAAGTTGGTGGAATCAAAAAGTGTTTAGAAATGTGTTAAATGTCTTTCCATGGAAAGAAGCACTATTACTAAAATGCTACAGATGCATTGCTCCCCAAATCCTCAGAAGTGGTCTCATTAGTCATTTGGATGATACTGCCCATGGACTGATTATACCAGTGGCTGCTTTACTGTGCTTTCTAGAGCCACAGGAATGTCCATAGAATTCTGTGGGTCTTTAGCATGGCAAGATGCTCCCCAATACTGGTGTCCCTGGTTATCTTATAGACTCAGATCAGACCTTCCCTTGACTGGCCTTTCAGATGAAAGCACACTCATCTCAGGGGACTAGGGGAGTCCTCTGCATGGATCTTCTATGACAAGAACAATAGAGTCTTAGGAGGGCTTGTTTGGGGTTCTCCAGAGGGCACCAAAGAAGGAAAGAAGACCTCAAACCCTTATCCACCTTAGGGACTTTTATGAAGTCAAAAAAGAAAAGCAAAATTAAGGTCACACCTCTTTCTCTGTGAAAGAGTAGTCTTGTCATGGCCAGGGCACCCAAATTCCAACAGAAACAGAAGCATTAACATGCCCAGAGGGGCTCAGCACCAGTGGAGAAAAACAGCAAAGAAGAGCCTCCCTCCCTAGGCCTGGTTGGGCTCAGAGGCATCCAGCTGTAAGCCAGCTGGGCTCAGTTGAAAAGAACATGTGTAGAATATTGGTTTGGTTCCAAATCCCATATTTAAAGAGGAACATTTCCAAATACAGCCTTAGACAAAACAGTCCACACCTTCAGCACAGGTCTTGAAATTGTCATACAAGAGCAATAAAGAGCACTTGGAAAGTTAAATTTGACTCGGCAAGTCCAAAAGGCTTCCGGGAATACCTGATGAATGCCTTAAAATATCTACAAAATGGTAGAAGATGGAATAAATCAGGAGAGCAGAACTAGTTCAGTATTTGGCTAAGTAGAAGGAAGAATTTCTAAGATGAGAGCTCCTTGAAATGGAATGTCTTGACTTGGGTAGTAGAGAGTCCTTTGGCTGGTGGTGCAGAAGCTGAGGCTGCCATACACCTGCGACCTGAGGAGAGAGGGGAATACTTTTGAGAAGGTAGGATCTCCAAACAGTGAAAACTGTGGGTTTGGGTGTCAGGTTGGCTCTGGGCTCAGGTTTCAGATGTTTTTATAATACCCTGGGAAATTTTTCTTGGACCCTCAATTTCCTCATTTGTGAACTGGGTCTAACAATATCCGTTCCAGTGGGCTATTATGCAAATAAATAAAGTATTAACTATCCCTAGTGCTTGGCACGGCAGAAATGCTACATTTGTGATTATTGCTGCCACTGTTACATCTGAGTTTGATAAATTGGGTGGGAAAAGAAAGTTCATAATTTCCTGAGATTTCTTTAGCCCTCTGATTCTATGATCACCATGGGTCCCATTCTGTCAAACTTCCTGGTGCTGTCTTTCTAATTCCCTGATTGCCCGGAGTTTTCCGTTTCAGCACCACCCCAGGTCTTCCTACACAAAGGTTTTTATCCCCACTTTCCTACTGCCACTTTCCTCTCCTAATCAGAAACAATCTTTCCTAAACAATCTTTCCTTGCAAACCTGCTTTCTGCAGTGATAACTGGCTATTCTGGAAAATGATGTATATTAAGAGTACTATAGTAATATGACTATGTAATCAGCTTCTTTAATTTTTTTTCTTCTGCTAGGAAGCAAGGCTGAGCACGGTACCTAGTCTACAGCCAACAGTCAGTCAAAACTCTAAATGATCATGAGGACAGATCTTCTACTAGTGGGATTCTATGGGCCATGCTAAGCTTTTCCAGAAAGTTATGATGGTGGTCATTTGAGGCAAGGTAGAACACCAAACAATCTTGTGACAAGTTGCTTGGGGGATATTTAGGTACAGGTGGGACCTTCCTCCATTCACTGATTAATTTTCTGGAGAACCTTAAAATTCACTGTTGTTCTTCCACCCAAGAAAAGAGCGGAGCTACGTGCAGAAGTGCTGGAAGGATGTGCGTGTGGGAGACTTCATCCAAATGAAATGCAACGAGATCATCCCAGCAGACATACTCCTCCTCTTCTCCTCAGACCCCAGCGGGATCTGCCACCTGGAAACTGCCAACCTGGATGGAGAGACAAACCTCAAACAAAGACGTGTTGTGAAGGGCTTCTCAGAGCAGGTAAGGCTCTTTCTAAGATCTTCGAAAGTAAGGTCAAAGGGAAGAAACAAGCCAACTACTGGAAAATTGAACTTAACCTGGTAGCTGGAGGAGAGAGTAGGGGATGCCTCCTTTTCCCAAGCACTTAGGTATACTTAATCTTCCAAGCAAGCCTCTTAATGGGTATTATCCCCTTATCAAACATGGGGAAACAGTCGTAGGAAAGTTAAATAACTTGCTGAAAGCCTCAGAATGCCTAAATGGGGGCCCACTCTATTAAGGAAACTGTGGTCTTCGGTCTAAACCAAGGAATCTAATATCTGTTCAGTTACCCTTGGGACTAACCCACTTTTCCGTGCTTATGCAGTCCCTGCCCATCCTGCCCAGCTCCTCTCTCTCCCTGAATCTTCTCCAGTACTACTTTGACTAGAGCATAAGATATAGGAAGGTACTGTTAACTATTTTTCCACTTGTGTACATCTTACCTTCCCTCCTAGAGAAACAGGGAATGATCATCAACAGTTTTAGTTAACTCCCACACTTACATGTATGGTACTGTGGACATCATAGGGAAGTCATTACTGTTTGGTGGTTAAGAGCCCGCTCTGGAGGCTGACAGAACTGAACTCAAAGCCCAACCCCACCATTTAGTAATATTCTTACCTCAGGCAAGTTACTACTCTCTCACATCTTTATTCCCTCGTCTGGAAAATGGGTACAAAAATAGTACCTTCTCCGTTAGGGTGATTCTGAAGACTAAAGGACATGTATAGGAATTATTTAGTGTGAAGGTAGACACATAGTAAGAGACCAGTAAATAGCTGGCAATAAATGTCAGTGGTGTTCAGAGGCAATATGTGCTGATAAATTGAAACGGGGTGAAAATTTGAAATTTTCAATTAAAATTCCCCTTGAAGGTATTGATTTTTGTTTTTTTTATTTTTTATTTTTTTATTATGTTATGTTAGTCACCATACATTACATCATTAGTTTTTGATGTAGTGTTCCATGACTCATTGTTTGTGTATAACACCCAGTGCTCCATGCAGTACGTGCCCTCCTTAATACCCATCACTGGGCTACCCCATCCCCCCACCCCTCTCCCCTCTAGAACCCTCAGTTTGTTTCCTGGCATCCATAGTCTCTCATGGTTCGTCTCCTCCTCTGATTTCCCCCCCTTCATTTTTCCCTTCCTTCTTCTGTCCATGGAAAAGAATAAAAAATCTATCAGTTTCTTCATTCTGCCAGGCTTTGTCAAGAGGGAAATTAGATGAGTCAGGGATTTAGAGGAAAGAAAGCAAGTGCTCATTCCTCAGAGATTCTTGTGAGCTAGAGTTCAGTTATCTAGATTGAAACTTCTTGAGAGAAGACAATTTGTTATACCTCATTTTGCCTCTCTCCAAGCACCAGATGAATAGTTCTCGAAAAATCTCTCTGGTATGATTGAATCAGTCCTCAGAAGACTGTTCTCTCATCTCTACGTAGTTCTCCCCTAGTTCCGCTGGGAGATTCAAAGGAGATAAAGAAAGTAAGGAACAAAATCTAGGGTTTTGGTGCATAGTAGGCCCGCAATAAATGGACTTTTACTGCTACCTCAGCTGTACTTACTACCCTGGGCGTGGAAACCATCATGACCACTTCACTGCCATCCACTTTTTCTTGTTGTTTTGCAGGTTCTGAGTTCATTTCTTGTTATTTTGCAGGTTCACTATTTCCCTTGGTCTCCAGGCTCCACCAGGCTCCACTCACTGCACTGGTGTGTGGTGTCTGAGTTTTCTCCCCTTTGCTTGTCCTTACCACATTCACCAATCACCCTAGAGTTTACAAAAAAGCAGGGCAGGATCGGGGGAAAGTTCACAAAGCCATTCTAGATGCACAGCAATCTGTTTCTTGGCTCAGGGCCATGTGGCCTGCCCTCTAGATCAGAGGCTTTTAAGTTTCTTTAACCATAATTCACAATAAGAAATACACGTGATTCACACACACGCACACACACACACACACACATCCACACGTGGATGTGTGTGTGTGTGTGAGATATAGAATTGTCCCCTCAGCCATACTACATGCGAAGAAAGTCTGAGACTTTCTATTCTTCTTTTTCTTTTTTTTTTTTACAAAGCTCTGGGAGCATTGAAACTTGTATTTTCTTACAATGCTTACAAACCTCCCCCTCAGCAGTCCCTCCCCAGCATCCTCAACACTGTTCTGGGTCCTCTTTACTCTCTCTCCAGGGGCAGAGCACAGTGTTGTTGAGTTTCAACCAGCCACTTCTCTTTTTGTCTTTAGCAATAGCTCCCAAGCTGTTTCTTGTATGTTAATTAGTCAGATAGTTGGGGATTTGACTGGAAAGAAGAGCAAGATGAAAGGGTCATTCACACTCCAGTGCAGTAGACCAGCCAATTTAATAACTTCTCTCAAACTCTACCCCTGAAATCTCACAGGGTACTTGGCATAATGACTTAGAAAAAAAAAGAAAAAAATGTTCATTTGTGAAGGGAAGAAGATTTATTTGAGCTTCAAGGTTTTTAGTGTTCTCTATTCTGTTCCTTCATTCTTCCCCTCACTTTGTGTAAGTGTGTTTTTCCATTTTTATAATAATAGTTATGATAATGATGCACTTTTATTAAGTCCTTACCCAGGGCTTTGCATGATTATCTCATTTATCCTTACAAACCCCCAGCAAGACAGGGCTATTATTGTCCCCATTATACACAGAAGGAAAAGAAGCATAGATAGGTTAAATAACTTGTCCAAGATCACTGAGCCAGAAAGTGTTGGAACCAGGATTCAAACCCAAGTTTGTCGAAAGCCTCAGCTCCTAAGGTTCATAGTAGCTCATCTCCCTGGCCCTTTGACTGTTACCCAGAGATGCTTACTTGAATGCACACATTTATCATTTTCAATATTCTTTCCACATATAAGTAGCATGTGGCAGGAAGAATAAAAGTAGGCTTAGCCAGGGGCACTTGGTTGGCTAAGTCAGTTAAGCGTCTGCCTTCTGCTCAGGTCATGATCTCAGGGTCCTGGGATCGAGCCCCACATCAGGCTCCCTGTTCAGCAGGGAGTCTATTTCTCCCTCTCTCCATTCATGCTCTCTCTGTCTCTCTCAAATAAAATATTTCAAATAAATAAATAATTAAAATTTAAAAAATTGAAAAGTAGGCTTAACCAGCTCCCTGAGAAGAAGGAATTTGGTCTGCTCTTTGCTACCTTGCTTCTCCCTTATGTCAGTGCAAAAAGATCTCTGAATATAGGTAGAATTCTCTTCTCTTTACTACAGCATTTCTCAAATGTATTGGACAGACATTGATGAGAGTTGCACGAAAAATATATGTGGCAAAATCAAAAAGCAGAAGACAACAGTTTACAAATTTTCAAATATTTCAAATAGTACTGCCAGACATCTCAGGTACTTTAATAAGCCCCAAGGAGGAGAGGGGACAGGGACCAGTATGCAGCATCTCTAAACATTTAACCACAGAGACCTTTTATTCCAAGGAACATACTCCAGAACTACTTCAGGAGACGTAGAATCACAATTTAGGAATTTGCTCCAAATATATTACTGGTGTTCAAGATGTACCATCATCACCACAGGGAGAAACTTTTAAAAAATATACATGCATTTTTCCCCATTATCACTAAATTATGGCTCACTAGGACTGAGTAGGGGTCGGGCATGCATATTTTTTAAATGTTCCCCCATATGATCTTGACATGAACCTACCACCTACCACCTTCTTGAAGGCCTGTACAGCAAAGGAAAGGCGTCACCTCAAGCGCTTACAAAAAACACTTTTAATAATAAGAACAAAACTACCATCTCCGTGCTTCTTACATGTGCCAGTGCTTTTCCATACACTGTCTCTTTTAGTCCTTGCACCCACGCTATGAAGAGGATATTACTATCCTCATTTTACAGATAACAACTCTGAGGAATAGAAGCAGCAAATTTTACCATTGTCTCAGAGAAGGTTTTGAGCACCTACAGATATGGTTTGTTTGGAAATTTGATATCTTAAATAATAAGTGTTAATGGCATTTCTTAGTTTTCCCTATAACCCCTAGTGACTATAAGATCTTCACCTTGCCAAAAGGGTTTTTACTAACAGATTTCTAGAAACTTCCTACCCCATCTGTACACCCACACCCATTTTTACCATCTTGTGGATGACGAGAGATTAGTATATTCTGTTAATTCAGAGTCAATAAGACAAACTTCGTCCCAGCTCTCCTAGATCACCATTTCTCAAGGCAGAGTGTGCCAAATGCTTATCTCAAGAGATAGTTCTTAGAAAACAAGGATCATGGTCAAATCTGATTGGGAAACCTGTGTCCTGTGGACCCCTCTTGGAGGTCCAATGTACATCAACATAGTAAGGTCTCTTAGATATACAGTCAACAGACCTTTTAAACTTTCTTTAACCCTGAGTTTTCAGAACTATTTTTTAGCGCAATAATTTTAGCATTCCTATGAAAATTTGGGGGGGGGGAATTAACCTGGATTGTTGAGCAGACATGATCACAGTAGCTGAGCAGTAACAGAGAAGGCCCTAGGCAATTCATCCTCCCCTTTCCCATGTAGGTTCAAATGAAATTACAAATATAAAAGAGCTTCTCAAAAGTACCTTTCTCCTGTGACAAGGCATATCATTCTCAAGGTTGCCAAAGAGTTGCTTTCAAAATCCTTTTCTTAGAATTCAACTTGGACGAGGCCAACTTTCTTTTTCAACTTAGACTTTTATCATGCTGGGTGATCTTTGAATTCACAAAATTATTGACCTGTTCTTGAAATATTTATTCCCACATCCCATTGCTGAGGAAAGGGAAGGAATCCAAAATTAGAATTATGCTAAGGTCTGCTGAGCAGGTCAGAGGACTTTATTAGAGAATTAAATTGTACCATTTTCTCTTTGATGACATTCTGATACCCAAAATCTCTTCTCAAAAGGATTTCCAAGATGGGTAGTAGGCATTTAATACCTGAGAAGGAGTATGTGCCATTTATTTTGGTAAAT